CTCTCTGGGGCTAAGATATTTGAGTGTATCTGCCAGCGCACACACGGACGGCGGAGAATATATAAGCAGAATGGGAGGGATGCGTTTACAAGGGCGCTAAAAGGAGAAGGTTGTCGCTGAGGACCAAGACGAAACGGAGAGAAACGGGGCGCACAAACGATGCAGTGAAAATCACAAGCTACTGAAAGGTTCGTTATATTAACTCTTGGAAACGTTGAGACATATCTTCTAATAGGATCACTGCAAAGTGCTTTTGGTGAGTCTTAAAAAACTCACAAAAGGAGTCATTCTAGGAATTTGTTGATCGAGACACTACAGGATTCCTGGAAAGATTGTTGACTGAGTGGAAGTTGAAGTAACAGATGTTGTGGATCTGAGTTTTAACAACAAATTTTCAGACTAATTCACATGTAAGTCTCATGTGCATCTAATATTCCTGTTGATCTTTTCAAAGGAATGAACAATTCATTGTGCAATGCATCGACTTTAGTGACTTTGGCTTTGCTCAGACTGTTGGTGTGTGAGGGTCATCTTGAGGAGTGGGAAGAGGATCTGTGGTTTCAAAACAGAGGGTAAGTTTTGTGTTGGAGGCCATACAGTCAGAGCGCTGAGAAAAATGGCTGATATGACCGTGCTCCCCTTGTTATTACAACATTTAATCAAACTTCCAAAGAGAATGGATTCAGTTCTCATCACCTTGGTTAAATAAAAAGTTCATAACATGCAGTACATTAGCTAAAAACTTCAGCGTTCACAACAAAACACCTAACAAGTATGTAACATATAAAAATATATATATTTTTTTTACAAAAATATAAATATTTTACTTCTCTGACCAAGAATAGTGAAGTAGCCTTCAGGCTTCATTAGATTGAACTATGTGATCTTCATTTTACCGCCTGTGCTCTTGAGACTGTCCATAAAGCAATGAAGGTGATGTTATAATGACTTTTGTAAAACGTGAAAGCTTTTTAAAGTTATGATCTTTTATCTGATTAGGTTAAAACTCAACAGAATGTAACCTTGTCCTTTTATTCTCTAGTAGTCATGCTGTGTCCTTCATGTCTGCTTTGGGTCAGTTTTTTTTGCTTATAAACTGGAACACGGTCTGTATGAAAAGAAAACAAATTGGTTTATAAAAACAGAATCTATTTTTCCTAATGCAATCTAATGTAGATGCGGCAAAAACTCTGTGCCTTTTTCTTGAGCACAAAGTCAGGACATCTCTGTCCGCTCAGCTGGACTGAAAGTGTGGATCAACATAGTTGAAATTCGATTGTATTGTTTTATTCAGCTCAATGTATTTTCTATGCAACAAGTCACAATTTTGCTAGTAGTCAGGTGTAACTTATATTTGCTTTTTTCCCTCTTTGTGGAGCATTTATTGAATGTTGAGTTAGATGTTACCGTCGTGAGCCAAGTAAACATTAGGGAAGCTCCACATGTGTACTTAAAGAACGTGCTGCCGAGAGAGGATCCTTTACAAGAGAGCAACAGCAAAATATCCAACAGCCTTCCAGTCTTAGGGTGAACTCCCTGGGCAGACAGCAGCTGTGCGAGCCAGGAGAGACCAAGCTGAGAGACCGGACTGAAACTGGAGCAGAAGCAGAAGCGGGTACCCAGAAAGTAAATAATGAATGTCCGAAAATGGAGGTACTCCCTGTCTGGTTACATGATGAGGCTGTTTTTCCGGTACCTGACCTCCAGGTTTTCCTTTGCTGGGGCACATCTCTATTTCGTGAGTTTGTCTAAACCTTCCCTCAGGCTCCAGTCAGGTATTTAGACATCCAAATAGTGCGTGAAGCTTTAGTTCACCTTCACAGAGACCAGCTCTTTCACAATCTCGATTTAAACAGCCGTTTCCTGCTTGTTCCTGTGTTGTTAGACATGATATTAGTGTGATTCCCACATGTTTAAAACTGATTCCATAAGTACAAGCAAAACATGGTCTTTCATTCATTTCACAATCAAAATGTTTTAAATTGAGAAAAACCGTCATGATGACATGATATGTTAACAAGACTGTTATGACTCCTAATAGCAGAAAATGTTTCAGTGGAAACTGGGATCCTTCTGTCCAGACGACTACTGCAAACCCTACATCCGTTTGCAGCGGCGTATACCTGAGATAAAACCTAAAACTGTAATGGAAACAGCGATGACTATAGCTGATGTTATAATGCGCTTGTACAGCGCCTGTTTACCATGGAGACTAAATGCAGGTGGGACGTTGTGGACCAAGAAGTAATATATTTTTCCAGTTGCTCTCAAGTGAGGATGCTCTACATCTTAAAGACAGTAATATTTCTTCCATATCACGAGAAGAAGACAAACCAGTTTGTCTCAATATATACATGACATAAAAACTGCCAAACACATTTTACAGTCACAGGTCTAACTAAGCCTGGTCAATAAATGTTTCAGGTTTTGTGATAAAGTAATGGTCAATGGCAACATTTTCTAGAAAGTTCTCACAAAGGAATATTGGCCTGAGCTGAGTTTGACTTTCAGACATTTGTGTTGTGTGGTAAATACACCTTCTTTCATTAGCCGCCTTAATTTAGGTCATTGATAAAGTACGTGAGCAGGATGAAAAGGTTTGTCTCGTCAAAGAGCATCTAATGGGACGTGATCCCAGAAACAACAATAGCATCACGAATATCTATGCCACCGATAAGAGAGAACACAAGCTGAAAGCTAATGATAAACAAATAGCAGCAAGGTGAATGTATACAGTCATAAACCAACATTATTTGCTCAGTCCCAGCGCTATTGTGCGATTTTCTACATTACTTTCCATGAATAAATATATAAATATATAAGAAAAAAAAATACATGAGAGTAAATGGTTGCACTTTTTGTGTGCGACACAGGAGAGAAGAGGAGCGGTGACTTGGTGCATTAACATACAGATAGAATAGGAAAAGAGTTTTAATGTACTCAGGAGGCCGGAGGAATGGAGACGTAGAATGAGAGGTGCGGAGGAAAGGGCCAATGAAGACTAGGAGAGAGAAAGACAATCAGCACAGTGGTGACACAGAGGCAGGCATCCGCGACCTTGTATCTCAGTTCATCATGCAGGGAAAGAAATGAAAGGCCTACAGGAAGGAAAGAAATATATGAGTAAAGAGAAGACGAGCAGGATGGAGGGGAAGATGGAGTCAAAAATAGAGGAAATTCAGCAAACAGCTCAGGGATCACAGATGAGTGTGTCACAACGAGAACGTGAAGGAAAAAGAAACAGTGACAGGAACGTAAAGCGCTGCATTGGAACAGCACTGACCCGACCCGAAGAATGTGAACGCTGGAAGGGCAAAATCTGTGACTATGAAAGGAATATATATAAAAAAAGACAAAGATAGCAGCTATCAGGTCCAGTAATCTGTGACTGCAGACAAGGAAGAAGGAGACAGTGGGGACACCCTGTGCTTGGGGACAAGTGGGGCATCAGAGACACTATCCAGGGCAAAACAAAGGGGACAAAAAAGCTCAAGGATGAACTATGAGGACAAGTCTGTGGGGTCAGAGTGACGCTTTGGGCGATGTTCTGCTTAGAAATCTTCAACCCTGAGTTCAATGTGAAGGGAACAACCTTCCTAATATCTAATAACTATCCTAATGTCTAATTGGTGCATTTTACAAATTTAAAAATGGTTAAGAGGTTAAAATTTATGAGAAGAAGAAGCAACACTTATTTTCCTATGGAAAGTTCTGCGTGAACGGAAATGGATATTTAAAGCAGAAAAATGAATCTGAAATCCCTGTTCAGCCAACATTTTACTTTACTCCTCCTTTCTGGTGCGAGACTGAGAACATGCAATCTGCCAGCGGCTCTGCATTTACACCTTGCAGCACTCTGTTCTGCAAACGCCAACCTTCAGCACTCATTTCTCTGTGGACCCGCAAGTCGCCGTCATTGCTCCCTCATGCAGAATCCTGGCTGTGTTGCAACTCTTAAAAGCCCGTTAGAGTAAATGTCCGGTTTCGTGTGCTAATGCCAGAAGTGAGAAAACTGTCGAGGTCACACCGGGCCAGAGACGCATTGGCCTGGCTGTCAGACAAGACAGAAAGAGCTAAAACTTGGCAAAGTCAATTTTGAGTTTCAGATAATCTGGTGTTTTGATTATTGCCAAAATCGTTCCCTATTCAACAAACCCAAAAGCTAAAAATAGCAACAAACATTAAGATAAACAAATTATTGAGTTATTCTGAGCAAAAAAAAAAAAAAAAAAAAAACTTGTTCGCCAATTTGATGGAATTCTTTAAATTTGTTTTTTTTCTTAATATTTCCAGGACATTTATTGATGTTACTTGTTCTTTCTAAAAAGAACAATTTACCTAAATAAAATGAAGCGACGACTATAAATTAAATAGTGGAAAGAAACCCAACAACTTGATGTGAACCTGTAATGAAATTACTTTCATTACATTTTATCAGTCGACCTTTACTGAATAAAAGTCGACTGATAAGTTTTAAAAAGATGATAAAGCAATGACAGACCTGTCTTTCTTTTTGTTTAGGTTCAACGCTTGGCAGACACATTAACGGCGCTTTAATTTTTCATTTGAATTTCTTAATGTCAACAGATCAAAATTGACAAGGTTGTGAAACCAAGTTTTTCAATGAAGAAATGATGTGATTCTCGTGAAACCAGGCGTGGTTCACATAAGACGGCGTTTGAAGTGGTGAAATTGAAAGAAATACTATTGAAGGAGGTCTCAAACATGCCTCAAGGTTTTCTGTGATATGAAATCGTTCTTTGGTAGCAAAAAGTTCATTCCCGCTGTTTCTACAAGCTGCTACCAACATGGTGGGTCCTTGACCCAAGACACCTCAATCACAGCCAGAAACCCAACTGCGTTTCCAAAACACACCAATAAAACTACTTGAAACTCTACCAGAACACACAAATGTTAACGCCAGCTCTACACATGTATAACAACAATAACAACAAACAAATATATATGTTTTTATACCCTCAGAAGACTGTTTAACTTACCAAGAGATTATTAGGTGCAGGTCTCTCCTTGGGGTTCTTTCGCATGCTGAGAAAAGAGAGACACAAACGGAGGGCACCCAGTCATCATTCACTGTATTGCAAAGTGCAAAAGAGCTGTTTTTGTTCTATTTATATATGCATACTTTCATCAATTAATTGATACATGAAAGAAGTCTTTCTAAAAAAAAATCCCTCATGCCACAGACGCTGAGAAAAGAAAGCGTGAATAGCCATACAACACAGGTAATTCATTCCACATAATTAGAGAATTTTGTGTGCGTGTCCTCCATATTGTGTTTACTGTGATCCGTCAGAACGACCGACACGGGGGACTGTGTGCAGTTAGTCGTGAAACTGCTTTATGTATCATAATGAAAGGGCCATGACCGTCTAAGAATAGTCAGACAGTAGAGTACAAACGCTGCACCAAAGCAGGACGGAGCACCTGTGCAGAGAGGTGTCCTGTGTGAGCAAATACAGCCGCCATGGGGGACAAACAGCAGCTGCTATGGTCTGCTGGCGAGCACTGAGCACACACACTCATACACAGAGCATGCATGTGGTTTGGGAGTGCATGTAAATGTTTGCCTAACTGTAAAGGTTACAAGTGGCTAATGAATCAGAGGCAAACAGGGTAAACACTGGATTTTGTCCTCATGCATTAGAAAAGCAGTCACTGTCAAAGGGACAGCTTTTAATCTATTGCTAGCAGACCCAAATATGATGGCTCAAGCCAACGACGACACAATGAAATCACACACACACACAGGAACACGCACTTTAATGCCATTAAACACTATAATACCCCTGATTCATTCAGGATCATTTGACCCGTTCACGACAAATATGGCCTGCAGGGATTTGAACTGCTCAGCCTGACACACTGGAGTCAGAGCTGGTGGGTTTTTGTTGGTCACAAAAACGACACAAATGTCACATAAAATCACCCAAAAATTGTTAACAGTTGAAAGCGTTTTAAGTACAAATCATTTTTAAAATATTGGCACCGGTGACATCTCGTCTGACTCACCACTGAGTGATGAAGTGAACAAACTTTTCACTGAACTGTCCAACGGGAAGAACTGGAGGGTCCTGTAGGAGGAAACAAACCCATTTGTTTAGAAAACAACAATTCGATTATGGACAGAAAATATATATATTTTTGAATATCTTTTTCTATTTGCTAGATCAGAAATTTACACACACGAAGCTCAATACGCCTTTAAAACATTTGGGAATGCTCATGATGATGATGTCATAACCTGGTAAGCGGCTGCGGCACAATGTGGATGTATTTAAAGGCAACACCTCAAACACACCACTTCCATGTGCGTAGCTTCTTCTGGGGCCCGGGGTTTGGGCCTAAGGAGGGTCTAAGAAGTGAACTTAGTTTAGGTGAGGTCTAGGAAAAATGTCTGAGGTCGGCATAAATGCAGTTACTAAAATAAGTGGAAGTCAATACAAACAATACGGGTAGAAATACAAACTTGTGTGTGTGAACTGAGTAAATTTGATGTCCAACTTAATATTTTAGCTTGTCATAACGTTCCTGTCTCGAGGTGTTAGAGCTTACAGTTGTTATCATCATCTAATATTAATGAAACATTGCTTTGAATTAAACATGGGTTCATTATGGGCAGAATTGTGTATTTGTATAAATAGCATACTTCATAAAAAACTGGAAAAAAAAAAAAAAATTTTTCGACATCCGCTTTAATTTAAAGATGGTGATTGTGACACTGTGGCCGTCTCTACCAGTATGGAAGTCTGTAGGAGGAGACATCGTTAGACACGGTTACTCCTGTAATCGTATTTCATGTGCCTTCATATGTTGTGTGGATAATCAGGGTGGGCCAGCATGGCCAAAAATGTCAGGGCCACTTTCTGGTCCCAGCCCTGCGCTGGATGAAGAGGAAATAAAGGAATCCGAATCTGAAGAGGCTTTGAGGTTTCAAATATAAGCAACCCACCAAATGGCACAGAAAAATGAAACCAGATAAAGAAACCAACATGACAAAAGCTGCCGTGAACGTTTTCAGGTCATTCAAATCAAGGCTACATTTCTGAAGAAAAGATATTCATGTATGTTTTTTTTTTTTGAATACATTGTTGCTTTGAAAACATGGCAGCGTTTTATTCCCCAACTGATAAATGCAGAATGGGAACCAGCTTTGTAGGATATCTTGCAGAAATTACACACATTGGATGCACTCACTAAGGTACATTCAAAGTATAAAAATAAACTTGACTTTTCAAAAATGTGCTCAAGTAATAGCACATTTAAAAAGTATATATGAATCCATAAAAGCTTGGCAGATGTTACATTGGGTTACTGGTTATATTATTTACCTCTGAAATGCTCTATAATGCATGTCTGAATTAAAACCAACCAAAAACTGGGAGAAAAGATCCACAACCTGTACCCTGTGCCCATCTTTTGACATGTACTTTGTCAACATTGGCTCTCTGAACCATGTCATGCAAACCATCTGTGCAACCATCGCTTTACCTCATTACTTCACTTTGTTCCATTTATTCTGCTTCTGTTCTTGTTTTGTGCTCTCAGCAGAACAGAAAAATAAAACAAATAGGGCTTTTTGTTGTTTTTGCAACTATGGTAGTCAATTTCAACAAAGAAAAAGAAGTGAAGCAAAGTTGAGTCTTCTTCTTATTCCTTCATTTTTTAAAGATCTAATCAATTTTGAACCACTGCAACATAGCAGAAGGTAATGTGGGCTTTAATAGAACTGATAAAGTTCAGATCTAAGAAGAAAACGTTAGTTTGTAGGTGGATTATTTAGTAGATCCTAATTCCAGAGATCTGCACAAAAAACACTTTTTAGATATGTGTACACACACGCACGCACGCACACACACACACACACACACACACACACACACACACACACACACACACACACAACACACACACACACACACACACACACACACACACACACACACACACACACCCCTACTGGTCCGGGTGAACTTTAAGGTCAATTTTTCCGAACCAGACACGGGGGTGAATTTCAGGAGCACCCCTTTCCACTTGCTCTACAGACCGGCTGAATGTGTCAAAAAATCTTCAATGAACCACTCAACAAAGATCTCAGTTAAAATTGCGTATACACACTACACAACTCTAAATATAATGACCGGACTATCTCCAACATTAACAGGACAAAGATAATTAGATAGATAAGCCACGCCTCTTGCATAAGGATACACTATAAGTACCAATGAGCATTCCAAGGACAATTAAAATAAGACTTCAAAGAATGTCCCCAAAATATATTAAAGTACCAAAATGAGCATCAAATGGTATTTAATCCACACCCTGCAATAATGGTAGTGTTCATTTGTCATAAACACAGGCACAGACTACAACAATCTGAGTCCAAATATGAAAAAAATCAAGAAGAAATATGGTCAGCAATATAGTGCTAGTTCATTACCAATAAGGTAATGTTCAGACCTACACAAATGAAAATGTATTATGGAATAAACAAACGACATTGTCTTTTGCTATTTTTATTTTTGGGAGCAAACCAAAACACAAGCTCTTAGACAGACTTACTAGAACAATTTTGCATTGCCTTTTTCATCAACCTGAAAATCAATCTTCTGAATTACTTTGAAAATGATTAAGAGTTCAAGTTTTGTTCAGTCTATTCACACAACATCAGTCTTGGACCAACTTAGAAATCAGAACACATTATAGAAACTGCAAAAATAAACAAGCAAAAACCCCAAAAAAAAGGTTGAACGTTCTTAAGGTTTTGTTTAGAACATCTAGGCTGAAGATTTATCTGACATTTTTAGCTTTTTCTTTTTTCTTTTTGGACACACCACGATTTCTAACAAAGTCTCTTATGTTCTGAAGTGAGCGATTTATTAAAGCAGGATGTTCTGCCTGTTGACACTGTTGAATTTCAACTAAAGTTGCCAGCTTCCCAGTGTCGATGTGTTTCTGAAAATGTTTCAACACTGCTGCAATTTCTGTAGGCGACCAGGGCCGTTTTTGATTTCTCCGAGGATGGTCCTTTTCAGGAAAATCTACAAACAGAGACAATTTTACTCTTTAAAATATAAATCATATGTAGGAATCTGCTATAAAAGTATGCTTGTGATAAAGTTTTACATTCCAGTTCTGTTTATTGTGTTCATTAAAGACAACCCTTTGACAATTAGATTCTCAATGTGCATTTAGTCACCACATGAATCCTATATGTATCCACTAAAATTATTTTTCTCCAATTTTCTTTTAATTATTAAATTGATTACCAAGTTGTGATACACTGTATTTATTACACTTAGAAATTATGAAGCTACAGGCCTGGCACGTCAAATATGAACTATCACTCAAAGCTTCATTTTATATTATGCTGCAAGCTTTATGACCCTGTTGTTATAGAACCAGGTCATGCTTATCATTCATATCAGTCCGGCGGTAATAGGCGCTTAAATTCCGTGACAGAAAAAAAAAACACTTGGTATTTTATTCTATGTTGCATGACTTTGTGTTTATGATGTAAAGCGCTTTGGAATATCTTGTACCTGAAATGTGCTATACAAATAAAATTTTATTGATTGATTGATTGATTCTGTCCTGTCCATTCTGATTTTAAGCAATTTATTACTTGATCATAATCAGCAACTAACTTTGTAAGATTGTTTCAGCTTTATTTTTTAAAAATTGCACAGTCCCAACCCCTTCTCTGCATGTTTCTTACTGGTCTTTTTAAAGCTCAGGATAATACTCAATTATTGTAATATGTTATGATGAGCCTTAAAACAGTATCTCTAAACCGTACCACTAAGTTAAAAACCACTATGAATAGGAAGACAGTCATACCATCTTGGGGTTCTGAGGTTTTTCAGTTGGTGGTGCAATAATCTCCGTTCCCTTTCCTACAATACATTAGTAATACTTCAGGTCAACAAATTAAAAGATACAAATTAAAAATAAGTCACTAAATGCCCAATGAAAGGTTAATTGAAATAAGTCATACCAGAAGAGGTCCCAGGTAATTCAACAGGAGATTGAGGTTTTCTGCATCCTGTCAAATTAAGAGATACAAACAAGTTGTCTGTTATATTAGTCTTATCTGCACAGAAACCTAACCTTTAGCCAAAATTAAAGCTCAATATTATAATGTGCAATGATTACTATGTTAAGTTATTGAAACTAAATTATTAACCGTGAGGTGGGGGGAGGGTTTTTAAGGTAGTCATATCTTCTACTGTGCCTGACGGCTTCTCAGTAGATGGCATAGAGGATGTTCTCCCTAGAATATAGCATAAACTCCAACAATGTTGTCAAGGAGGGTAAAGAAAAACCTTAAGAAATGCCAAAATCTTCTAGCAATGTGTAATCAAAATTTAAAGAAAAACAAGGTACCTTGTGATGTCTCTTCTCCTAAACCATCTGTAATTGGATAAGTAAACAGAACACACCTGAATGTCTAATTTTAAAAACATGTAATATTACATCAGGCATGATGATTGATATTCATACCACCAGAAGATTCATTAGATTCTTGATTTGTAGAGCATTGAGTATCATTTACAAGTGGGGACGGGTCACAATCAACCTCACTTTGTCCACTTTCAGTGTCAGTCAGTTCCAACTCATCTAAAAAAGAAAAATCGAAACCAGTTCAGTAACAAATAAAAACGTTAACCCAAACAAGTACATAGAATTTTGAAAAGTACCTTCAATTTCGATCTCCTCCAGTGTTTTGCCTTGCAGATTTGCCAAAGTCCCCCTTTCCATTGCCAGAAGCAATTTAGAAATTTTTGCCAGTTGAGTCGTAGCCTCTGGTAGCCTGTAATACTCTCTATGAACACGTATATCATGTCCCAGAAAGTCTGCAACTTGGTCCAGTTCGTGATTTCGTAGGTTTAACACTTGGGACAATGTTGCAACATGCTTGCGAAGTTGCGTTGATCTTAGAAGTTCAGGGTTTTGGGCACCACTGTCATTGCATAAACCCTCAGACAGTCTTGTCCTCTGTAAGGGGTTAGACAGTTGGGTCTAGCAAAAAGAAAGGTGTTATTGTCTGGCACTCCACATTCCTTTCTTCTGCTAATGAGCTGGATGATGGCTTGAACCATGTCTGGTGATAAAAGCACAGCAACTTTTCGTCCCCTTTTCCCCTTTATTTCTACCCTGCTGAAATGGGCACAAAGTTGTTGTTCAAATGCTGTAAGACCAACTGCAACATCTTTATGCAAGGGAGTGGTGTCCCTCTCTAGAAAGGCAGACAGCTGCATTTTAGAAACCTCTCCACCTCGTCTTCGGTTGAACAAAATGATTTTTGCCAATGTACTTCTGCACAGTTCCCTATAGGCTTGTGGTAACGGATCACTTTTCAAAGTGTCAGATGCTAAATTTGCGACCTTTTCCAAATGCTGGTGAAGACGCTGAACATCCTCAGTGAAGGGAAGCGTGGAAGGCTTGTTAAAGCGCTTGTCACTCAAGGTTGTTAAAGCTCTGTGAGAAACAAGTTCTGACCACTTTGATGAATAAAGTGATTTGAAAGCCTGACATGAATTTTTAAGCTCATCATTCCCTGATACTAAAGCTGTGCAGCATATAAGGTCACTGATCTTGTGCAACGAGTGTCCTAATTTCAAAGCAAGGCTAGGAGTTTTATATGAATGACTGTCTTCTTCAAAGCCAGATACTCTCTTGACTGCTTGAACAAGTACATGGAAGTTTGAGGGCCTGACAGCATCTTCAATGTTGTATATAGAAAACTCATTCCGGAGGATCAGCAGAAGCCTTCCAACTTCACGAATCTTTTGTCGAATATATTCATGTTTGGAGGGATCTTGACCATGTTTATTGAAAAATGATTGTGCAAGCTGTAGAATGTAAAAGTCACTTCGCACTGCAGAAGACACTTCATCATCTTTCATGACTGTTAGGAGCTTAAAAACACCTTGGGATATTTGTTGACATAGTCCAGAATCCGCCATTAAGGCCAAGCTCAAGACCCTTTTTGGTCCTGTCTCATCAGTTGTTCCTGGTCCTGTCTCATCAGTTGTTCTTGGTTTGGATTTACATTTACGAGCATGCCGCCAAAGGTGCTTCCGAAGGTACAACCCCTGGCAAAACATGCAGTGAACATACTGGTTTATGTTATACTTCAGCTTGGGTTTACGTTTGATTTTTAGCAGTCCACTGCCACTTCTGTAAACCTCTTTGTTGTGAGTAGAGTTCCCCTTATTTCGCAACTGTGCTATCATTTTTTTCGCAGTTTTGAGGCTTTTGGTTGTGCCAAAGCTTGAGCGACTTCAGCATTTGTCTTCTCATGGACTTTTAAGTGTCGAGCAATCTTAGACTGGGGCTTGCCACAAACAAAGCAGTAGTTTTTTCCATCTCTTGATGATGATATACTTGTAGACTGGATGCTTTCAACAGCTTCAGATCCGGTGACTGGCTCCACAGAGCTCCCTTCAGTTTGAACGTCAATGTTTTTATTTTCAGAAGACCTTTTCTTCTTTTTCTGAACAACCTTTTTAGCACGGTCTTCACTTTCAGAAATAAAACCTTCAGCCAAGTCATTCTCTGCACCATCACTCTTTTGACAGTCTGGTAAAGATGCAATGAATCCAGGATCAAGAATAGTCCCTTTGAAATGATTTGAATCATCTATTGAGAGTTCCACTGAACTATCTGAGTAACTGACAGAGTCAGGTATGTATTCTTTGTCTGAAACATCATCAGCTGAAGATGATTCATCAGAAACCTTAAAAAGAAAGAGATTGTTCAAGTATTGCTCTTTTAAAACATTCCAAAAGGAGAACTAAAGACACCTACCCATGAAGATGGTGAAAAATCAGTCCTCTGAATCTTTTTATAGCAGATCTTGTGCCATATAGAAGAACAATCTGAAAAAAAAGGTTGGGAGTAAAGTTAAGGTTTTTATGGACGTATTTATTAAACAGTAATTTGTATAACAAATCATAATTTAAATATTTTCACTAGTAGAGATAGCAATCTATGATTTCCATAGGTAAAACTAATCACAAACATGACATATTTGATCATCCATTACATGTGAATAACAAGATCTATACATGTTAAACTTTAAGAGTCAATTAGAAATCCAATCCTAATCCACTTTGAAAATACTAAAGGAGTAATAACCACACAAGAAAAACTCACCTTTACATTTCACACCATTCCACCTGAGGGCAACAAAAGGTCCAAGCAATGTGTGCATTTTTCAATGCTTGAAAATGTTGAGTGCAGTACAACATGGTTGCATTTCTGGAGAAAAAACATTGCATTGTTAAAAATGTCAGTGCAATTCTGATCTAAAAGGGTTTTAAATTTCAGAAACTGAATATTGAGGGATGCATTTCATTTATAAAAGAAGTCCCTGAAAGCATTCAGTGATAATTTTGTAGGCAACTTCCAGTCATGTGCAAACACAAACTATGCAGTTCTGGGATTCTTGTTCCCTAACTTTGGTAACATTGTGTAAAAAGCTATGGAAGGCTAGACAAATTGCCTGGAAAAGGTGGAGAAGAAATTAAAGCAGGCTCCCAAAAACATTACACTAAGGGTTATCGACACACAGATCTCATAATGCTGTCACCTGACAGGAACAAGTATTGCAGGGACTGTGTCTACACTCTCAAAAACCAATGTCCACTAATATACCCGTGGGAAAATTACAAAGATTTGCAAGTCACACAGCTGTTCACCTGTGGTTCAAGAGACGAGGACAGTGATCCCATCGGTTCTTCACCTACAGTTTTGTCAGTGTGAGCAGAAACCTGTGGAGAAGACAGCAAATGAGTCATTAAGATTCATTTAATATTGACTTCAAGTTAGAACACTATAGAGTAACACTGTATAAAGAGCTGCGGCAAAGATAGGCAAGTTGTTTGGCAATAGTATTTTAAGCAAGGTCAGTGATTGCAAACAGTATTTACTCTTCCGGTCATCTACACAGACCTCACAATGCTGTCACCTGACAGAAACAAGCATTGCAGGGACTGTGTCTACACTCTCAAAAACCAATGTCCGAGTGATTGCCAACAATCTTACTCTTCGGGTCATCTACACACAGACCTCATAATGCTGTTCCCTGACAGGAACAAGCATTGCTGGGACTGTGTCTATGCTCTCAAAAACCCAGTTCCACTAATATACCCGTGGAAAAAATTACAAAGATTTGCAATTCGGACAGCTGTTCACCTGTGGTTCAGAAGACGAGGACAGTGATCCCATCGGTTCTTCACCTACAGTTTTGTCAGTGTGAGCAGAAACCTGTGGAGAAGACAGCAAATGAGTCATTAAGATTCATTTAATATTGACTTCAAGTTAGAACACTATAGAGTAACACTGTATAAAGAGCTGCGGCAAAGATAGGCAAGTTGTTTGGCAATAGTATTTTAAGCAAGGTCCGAGTGATTGCAAACAGCATTACTCTTCCGGTCATCTACACACAGACCTCATAATGCTGTCACCTGACAGGAACGAGCATTGCAGGAACTGTGTCTACACTCTCAAAAACCAATGTCCACTAACATACCCGTGGGAAAAATTACAAAGATTTACAAGTCGGACAGCTGTTCACCTGTGGTTCAAAGGACGAGGACAGTGATCCCATCGATTCTTCACCTACAGTTTTGTCAGTGTGAGCAGAAACCTGTGGAGAAGACAGCAAATGAGTCATTAAGATTCATTTAATATCCACTTCAAGTTAGAACACTATAGAGTAACACTGTATAAAGAGATGCGGCAAAGATAGGCAAGATGTTTGGCAATAGTATTTTAAGCAAGGTCCGAGTGATTGCAAACAGTATTACTCTTCCGGTCATCTACACACAGACCTCACAATGCTGTCACCTGACAGAAACAAGCATTGCAGGGACTGTGTTTACACTCTCAAAAACCAATGTCCAAGTGATTGCCAACAATCTTACTCTTCGGGTCATCTACACACAGACCTCATAATGCTGTTCCCTGACAGGAACAAGCAATGCTGGGACTGTGTCTATGCTCTCAAAAACCCAGTTCCACTAATATACCCGTGGAAAAAATTACAAAGATTTGCAATTCGGACAGCTGTTCACCTGTGGTTCAGAAGACGAGGACAGTGATCCCATCGGTTCTTCACCTACAGTTTTGTCAGTGTGAGCAGAAACCTGTGGAGAAGACAGCAAATGAGTCATTAAGATTCATTTAATATTGACTTCAAGTTAGAACACTATAGAGTAACACTGTATAAAGAGATGCGGCAAAGATAGGCAAGTTGTTTGGCAATAGTATTTTAAGCAAGGTCCGAGTGATTGCAAACAGCATTACTCTTCCGGTCATCTACACACAGACCTCACAATGCTGTCACCTGACAGAAACAAGCATTGCAGGGACTGTGTTTACACTCTCAAAAACCAATGTCCGAGTGATTGCCAACAATCTTACTCTTCGGGTCATCTACACACAGACCTCATAATGCTGTTCCCTGACAGGAACAAGCAATGCTGGGACTGTGTCTATGCTCTCAAAAACCCAGTTCCACTAATATACCCGTGGAAAAAATTACAAAGATTTGCAATTCGGACAGCTGTTCACCTGTGGTTCAGAAGACGAGGACAGTGAGCCCATCGGTTCTTCACCTACAGTTTTGTCAGTGTGAGCAGAAACCTGTGGAGAAGACAGCAAATGAGTCATTAAGATTCATTTAATATTGACTTCAAGTTAGAACACTATAGAGTAACACTGTATAAAGAGATGCGGCAAAGATAGGCAAGTTGTTTGGCAATAGTATTTTAAGCAAGGTCCGAGTGATTGCAAACAGCATTACTCTTCCGGTCATCTACACACAGACCTCACAATGCTGTCACCTGACAGAAACAAGCATTGCAGGGACTGTGTTTACACTCTCAAAAACCAATGTCCGAGTGATTGCCAACAATCTTACTCTTCGGTCATCTACACACAGACCTCATAATGCTGTTCCCTGACAGGAACAAGCAATGCTGGGACTGTGTCTATGCTCTCAAAAACCCAGTTCCACTAATATACCCGTGGAAAAAATTACAAAGATTTGCAATTCGGACAGCTGTTCACCTGTGGTTCAGAAGACGAGGACAGTGATCCCATCGGTTCTTCACCTACAGTTTTGTCAGTGTGAGCAGAAACCTGTGGAGAAGACAGCAAATGAGTCATTAAGATTCATTTAATATTGACTTCAAGTTAGAACACTATAGAGTAACACTGTATAAAGAGATGCGGCAAAGATAGGCAAGTTGTTTGGCAATAGTATTTTAAGCAAGGTCCGAGTGATTGCAAACAGCATTACTCTTCCGGTCATCTACACACAGACCTCACAATGCTGTCACCTGACAGAAACAAGCATTGCAGGACTGTGTTTACACTCTCAAAAACCAATGTCCGAGTGATTGCCAACAATCTTACTCTTCGGGTCATCTACACACAGACCTCATAATGCTGTTCCCTGACAGGAACAAGCAATGCTGGGACTGTGTCTATGCTCTCAAAAACCCAGTTCCACTAATATACCCGTGGAAAAAATTACAAAGATTTGCAATTCGGACAGCTGTTCACCTGTGGTTCAGAAGACGAGGACAGTGATCCCATCGGTTCTTCACCTACAGTTTTGTCAGTGTGAGCAGAAACCTGTGGAGAAGACAGCAAATGAGTCATTAAGATTCATTTAATATTGACTTCAAGTTAGAACACTATAGAGTAACACTGTATAAAGAGCAGCGGCAAAGATAGGCAAGTTGTTTGGCAATAGTATTTTAAGCAAGGTCCGAGTGATTGCAAACAGCATTACTCTTCCGGTCATCTACACACAGACCTCATAATGCTGTCACCTGACAGGAACGAGCATTGCAGGGACTGTGTCTACACTCTCAAAAACCAATGTCCACTAATATACACGTGGGAAAAATTACAAAGATTTGCAAGTCGGACAGCTGTTCACCTGTGGTTTAAGAGACGAGGACAGTGATCCCATCGGTTCTTCACCTACAATTTTGTCAGTGTGAGCAGAAACCTGTGGAGAAGACAGCAAATGAGTCATTAAGATTCATTAATATCCACTTCAAGTTAGAACACTATAGAGTAACACTGTATAGAGATGCGGCAAAGATAGGCAAGATGTTTGGCAATAGTATTTTAAGCAAGGTCCGAGTGATTGCAAACAGTATTACTCTTCCGGTCATCTACACACAGACCTCACAATGCTGTCACCTGACAGAAACAAGCATTGCAGGGACTGTGTTTACACTCTCAAAAACCAATGTCCGAGTGATTGCCAACAATCTTACTCTTCGGGTCATCTACACACAGACCTCATAATGCTGTTCCCTGACAGGAACAAGCAATGCTAGGACTGTGTCTATGCTCTCAAAAACCCAGTTCCACTAATAACCCGTGGAAAAAATTACAAAGATTTGCAATTCGGACAGCTGTTCACCTGTGGTTCAGAAGACGAGGACAGTGATCCCATCGGTTCTTCACCTACAGTTTTGTCAGTGTGAGCAGAAACCTGTGGAGAAGACAGCAAATGAGTCATTAAGATTCATTTAATATTGACTTCAAGTTAGAACACTATAGAGTAACACTGTATAAAGAGATGCGGCAAAGATAGGCAAGTTGTTTGGCAATAGTATTTTAAGCAAGGTCCGAGTGATTGCAAACAGCATTACTCTTCCGGTCATCTACACACAGACCTCACAATGCTGTCACCTGACAGAAACAAGCATTGCAGGGACTGTGTTTACATTCTCAAAAACCAATGTCCGAGTGATTGCCAACAATCTTACTCTTCGGGTCATCTACACACAGACCTCATAATGCTGTTCCCTGACAGGAACAAGCAATGCTGGGACTGTGTCTATGCTCTCAAAAACCCAGTTCCACTAATATACCCGTGGAAAAAATTACAAAGATTTGCAATTCGGACAGCTGTTCACCTGTGGTTCAGAAGACGAGGACAGTGATCCCATCGGTTCTTCACCTACAGTTTTGTCAGTGTGAGCAGAAACCTGTGGAGAAGACAGCAAATGAGTCATTAAGATTCATTTAATATTGACTTCAAGTTAGAACACTATAGAGTAACACTGTATAAAGAGCAGCGGCAAAGATAGGCAAGTTGTTTGGCAATAGTATTTTAAGCAAGGTCCGAATGATAGAAAACCACATTCCTCTCTGGGTTATTTATACACAGTCTTAGGAATGCTGTGTTTTGACAGGAATAATTA